TAGAGGGCAAGGGATTGGAAAAGTTGGAATTTCAGCCTTGTACGGTTTCCATCGTGTGAGGAAAGGTGGGAGGAAGGAAGGAGAAGTTTATGGGGTGCATGAACCATCAGGGATCTGCGTAGGGCAGGATGATCATGAGCAGAATCTACTGTTATTAAAGTGATGAAAGATAATTCTAACTCCTCTAGAATAAAGCATTTCCTAATAGTTCCACATGGATAAGCTTTGGCATCAGAGTGGCCTCAATATTTTGATTTGTACCCTCAAAATCCATAGGTTACTGCAGAAGTCTGTGCACCCTAACTTAAAATTTTATTTGTTTTTTCCTTGCAAGCTAAACACCAGGCTGCAATAATGTTGTGTGAGTCATATTGACTACATATTAATCATTTTTTATTTTCTTCATTGAACCTGATCCCTATATGAGACAAAATACAGAATTATGTAATATCACAAGGAGCTAAGAATATGTGAACATTCAAAATACTACTACTACTACTAATGATAATAATAATAATAATAATAATAATAATAATAATAATGCCTTTATCTTTTCACTGGCTCTATTTTCTCAGTGGCTTTGATTTCTCCAAGACATTTATACAAGTACAGACCATAATTGTGCTAATAAAGAGGAAATTATACCGATCTATAATTAGAGTAATAAGGAGAAAGGTACAGCAGATCATAATTGAACCAATAAGGGGAAAATATAATCATGTTTAATGGCTTACATGAGTGTTAGTGTCTTCTGTATACTTAATAAATTGGCACCCATTTTCATGGTGTGTATCTGAAACACCTTTCCTGATATTATCAAATTACCCTTCAGATCTATTGTTGGGCGCTTCTGCTGGTCCTGGAAGCCCCTGTGGGGTGAGGCCTTTTGGAATAATCAGAATATTAGCAGAATTTCAGGTGGTTTTGACCATCAGCTGCAGTCTTCTCTAACACTTCCTCCCTGTCCAGGTTTATTTAGGGTGTCCCTGGTTTGAATCCATGGGTGTACAGGTGGGTGGTCTCATAGCAAGGGTGAGATCTGGGGACAGAAATGCAGAAATGGTTGAGAGGTGCAACCCCTCGGGGTCACTGTGTTTGGGCATGAAAAGATGCTCTGCAAGCAGGATATGCACCAAGGACAAGGCAATGATTTATTTCCTAATATTCACAGTAGAATAACGTGGCTGCAAGCCCCAGAGTTGAGCATCAGTAATTCCTTGCTGCTGCTGCTGTTGCTGCTGCTGCTGAGCTTCCACCTTCTGTGGGCTTTTTTTTAACCTGAAGATTTCACAGCTCGCAGCTTTGATGTGTTTCCCTGCGAGTCCTTGAGCTGCTAACTGTCCCCTTCCCAGCAATCTTCCCCCTGTCTGCAGTTTGACCTTTTGGAGCTTGTAGAGCTCGAGTTTAGTTGTTTCCCTCACAGCGTGGTGGTTTGCTCAGAGGTTGGAGCCAAGGTCAGGCAGATGCTCGGTGTGGAAATCCAGCCAGGGATCAGAGACAGAGCTGAGCCCTCCCAGGGGGGTTTGCCAAGGCTGAAGTTTAAAACAGCCTCCCCACATCTTCACAGAAGTGACATCAATTGTAGTTTGGATATAATTTGCTTATTGATTCCTTCTCAGCTGTTAAAAAAATCAGGATATTTCCTGCTTTTACCATGAGCATGTAAATATTTCCTCAGACATTCCCACTCTTGGTGCGTGACATCCTTTACCTTGAGGTGACACCTGAGAAGATTTTCAGCCCAGTTACCCAGTTATTCCAGTTATCCTGGATCCCAGGTGCTGTTTCTGAGCTGTGGATGGCTTGGAAGGGCAGGACCAAAACTGGTGAACTGGACTCTCCATGCACAGAGAACACCCTGGGAGAGAGGCTCGTGTTTTCCACCAGGAACATCTGAGATATGTATTTTTCCAAATATTTTTCTCTCTCAAAGGTTTCTCAGCTCTGCTAAGTCCTGAAGATAAATGGAGAGAGAGAATTTACAAGAGCATGGAGGGACAGGAGGAGGGGGAATGGCTTTAAACCAAGAGAGGGGAGGTTTAGATGGGTAAAGGGGAGGAATTGTTCAGCTGGGGCTGCCCCTGGATCCCTGGGAATGTCCAAGGCCAGGCTGGACAGGATTTGGAGCAGCCTGGGACAGTGGGAGGTGTCCCTGCCATGGCAGGGGTGGCACTGGATGGGCTCTAAGGTCCCCAACCATTCCATGATTCCATGATTGTGTGATAATATGGAACGTGTGTGGCTTAGGATATTAATAATACTTAGGTAATATCCTGAAGGGCAGTTAATAGTGAACTAAATCCTAACAAAATATTCTATTTTTATAGTACATATTTTTATGTATTTCCATAGATATTTACATATGATACCTATTGTTTTCTAAGCTTTTTAGACTAACAAATAACAATTTTCCCTAGAGTTGAACTTTGCTTTCATTTCTTCAGACATTTGGACATTTCTTTGATCAAAGTCCCTATGTCAATGTGGCAATGATTTCACATCTACACATGAAATAACAAAAAAGACACTTTTATATTTTGTGGCCATTTTTAAGAACCTTGCCCTTACTAAAAATATGACATAACCTTATAAAACCTCATTAGGTAGATATAGATATTTTAAAAAAGAAAAGCAAAACCCATAAAAGAAAGAGTATAAATACCTACACGTATGTAGGTGTACAGCATATATATAAATATATATATACATATAAAAAAAATATATATATATAATATTTCACCTCCTTTTCTTCCACCCTCCCATAGATCACTAAGAAAATGACAACTCTCCACACAATCACTGAGGGCATAAAATGTATTTAATCTCTAATTTTCACACAGGTATTTTTAGCAAGCTAAGTAATAACTAAAAGAAGTGTTTCCTCTCACAGCACACAGTTGTGAAACTTTAATTTATATGTTAATTTTTTTAATTAAAGGGGGAAAAAATATAGAATTTAGCTTAGTTTTCTTGAAAACTACAGCATAATAATCTAACATTAATCTGAAGGACAACAGTGGAGGGTCTGACAGTTACCTGAAGACATCAAGGTAAGCCCAAGGCTGAACTTGGAGTTTCCTGGTGCCTTGGAAACAGCCTGAGACAGTGGATTCACTTATCCCAGGGTCACCTTGGCAGAAAACTCCACATTTTGCATTTAGTGCCTTGGACCAGGAGGCTGCTCCGGGTGCCTTGGGCTCTCTGAAGAGGAGCAGGGAGGGGAAGGCACAGTCCTGAGAGCAAATGAAGGAAAAAATGGACAATGTTTGAAAACAGATGAAGCCAGAAGCGGCATTTTTAGTGTTTGAGTCTCCTGCTGCTTCTCCACCGCTCAAGGCAAAGAGGTTGAGAGCACAAGCATGGTCATAAGCATCTGAAATTTGCTTTAAAGTGGCCTCTAACAGGATTTGGGGGTTATGATTCATCCCTCTGATGTCACAGAAATGAAGGAAGCGTGTGTCACCTGGCCACATCCCCAGATGGGCTGAGGAGGCAGTGGAGAACACTGAGAACTGCCTCAGTCTGGGTAGCACCATTTAGTGTTTCCTGCACTTGAAAGCTTCTGATCAGCAAGAGTTGCCATCAGAAATAATTCTGAATTAATCCTATTTTGTTACTAAATATTTCTGTTGCACTGCTGAGTTAACAATCTGGGTTAAGAATTCTGAAATCCCACTGTATTGGACAGTTCTGCACTTCAAGTTTAGGGATTTTTCATAGAATTATGGAATCCTCAAAAGGCCTGGGTTGAAGGGATCCTAAAAATCAGCCAGTTCCAAACCCTGCCACGGCGGTTTAGGTTTTGGGTGGGACATATTCTCTCCAGTGAACATATCCATACAAAATACCTGTGGAAGTCTGATCCTAAAGGATGAGGTAAAATTACCAGGAGAAGTGAAATAATCCTGCTTTCTTGAACTTTCCTCTGTTAAAACACTAATTCCCATGCTGGCTTTAAAAACCTCACTTGTAATCTCCATATTAAGGTCTATAAACTTCATCCTTAACTTTTTATTTCCGCTTTATTCCTGTTCTCTGCGTTGCCAAATATTGCTTTTGTGTAATTGAAACAGAGCTGTAGTTTGAGTATTAAACAGGGAAGGTAATTGTGTTTGGCTCTAAAGGGGGAAGCAAATGTGGACAGCAATAAAAAAAAGCTTAAATGGTGGAAAAATTGGGGGTTTCTTTGGTTTGGTTTTTTTTTTTGGAGCAGAGCTAGAGAGCAGATGCTGCTGGGGGACAGCAAATCCAGTTCCAAGGGGCATCTCTCTGGTTCCATGGGGTGGCTCAGGGAAGGGGGATTGACAACTTTGTAAGGGTGGTGCATGGATTTTTTTTCTTTTCTCCACCCCTCTGTTTTCATCTGTACCCCACAGAATTTTTGCATTTTAATGCAGTGTTGTAGGACAGCTGTGGTTCAGCCTGGCTTTGCACCTGCAGCGTGGAATTCTGGTGGGAACAATGCTCAGGAGCCTTGGGAAAAAGGAGGATATCAGGTGTGATTCCCTGTTTGGAGCTTCAGAATAGGGAGCAAGCAGCATGTGACACCACATGGGTCCCATTTTTAACCCTAAAATCAGAAGGGCACAATGCAGATCTGTGCCACGGCCTGGATGGGCAGGAGCCAAGTGATGCAGCTGGTGCCAGTTGTTGGCATGTCCAGGCAGGGCACATTGCTGTTTTATCTGCCACAGCTGATAAAACCAAAAATAAATACTTATTTACAATGAAAATCTGAGATTTGAGTACAGCAAAAAAAAAAAAAAAAAAAAAAAAATAAAATTACAGGTGAGAGAGTGCTCTAAGCAGGACGAAAGGGAGGCATGAATTATTATATTTACATTTCTATTCACTCTTATAAAATAGATGCCCCAGGCACGGAAGAAAACCCTGCGTTTCCCCAGCCCTGTGGCTGGTTTTGCCCAGCCTGGGGTAGTCCCTGGAGCATTTCCAGGGCTGCTCTGGGAGCAGATGTGGGATGGGAGGCAGAGGCTGCCTGCAGATCAAGTGGCTGCTGCCAACTCTCGCGAGCTCCATGTCAGAAAGAGTTGATTATAATGTCAGCACTGGCCAATTTACAGGCTTAAAGCAGCAGCTGCATCACTGCATTTCCCCCCAGGGATCCCAAGATCCCCACTCTTAAAAACTTTGTAGTTTCTTGTAATAGAAGCGGGGTAAGTGATTCTCTCTTTGCACGTCTCTGCCTGCCAGGATAATTTGCGGTTCCGCTTGATTTGCGCGGGGATTGGGATCTCTGGGAATGCTCTGCTCTGCCCATTTGTTGCTCTCCGGGGGAAGCTCTGCAAATGGAACGAGTGAGCAGCGTGTGTAGCAGAGCCTGGCATTATTCAAGGGATCCTGGGCTAAGTAAATTAAGCTAAGCTAGAAATCACTTATTAATTCAACCATCTTTCCTATTTAAATAGCGATTATGTAGTCCGGTGTATAGATTTTCTTTTGGCTGGGTAAAGATTTGCAAGGGGGAGGAAACAGGCATTGAAATAAAAAGTGTTCCCATGAATAAGAATGCAAGAGTAGAGTCTGTTTAACTTTTGCTGGGGGAAACTACTACAGCAGCAGCTTTTTAAAATGTGCAAACACACTGAGTGATAGAACTCTGCTGGGTTGGTGTTGATGAGCTAAAGCAATCTTCTGACCCTTTTACTCTCCTTGTAATCATCGAGTAATGTTTGTTTTGCTCCGTGTGCTTTACGCTGCTGAGCTTGGTTTAAAGCAGCATTAAAATCCCTATTAAATGTAATATTTGCCAGCCATTCAGGATGTAATAATCATCCTCTGTCACTTGTTACTTTTGTTAATATTAGCAGAGTGACCTGAGAGTAGATGAGTCCTGTCATTCAGTAGCACAAAAGTTCTGTGTTTTTCAAGCTTCATCCAACTTTTTTCTCTGAAATGCCAAAGCTAATTTAAAAGGTACAGAACTGAATTTTTTGGGGTTTTTTTCTAACTAATATTATGGTCTAAAGCTATTGCCTCTACATTTTGCAATGGTACACTGTACTCCTCCTGTCTCTTTTTAATTAACAGGAAAGTGCATGAGAAGAATTAATTTTAGTTACTATTAAGATGGATTAATCTTGAGGAACTTTAAAGTCTCTTGTTTTTCTTAGCATCATTTTCTTTTCATAATGATGATATTTTAAGTATCTTACCATTTCTAGCTTGTTGTGGTTTGGTCATGTTCAAGTTCAGTGAGGGAACAGTGTCACAACAACAGACTTAGAGAAATAACTTCTCCCATCTCATAGCATTACTGGGTGCTCCAAAACCCTCCTCCACTCCTTCTCCATCATTATCCTTCTCCCAGCTCCAGTGGCTTTTCAGGATTTTGCCTTTGGTTTTGCAGAGGGGCTGAGAAAAGCCCTGGAATGCTCAAAACAAATGATTTTTTTAAGCACAGATTTACAGAGCAAACTAAATCATTCTTCTCACCTCTCCTTCCATTGCGTCTCTTAAATCTTCTTGAGAAAGCTTTAAAATGAAACGTGCTTTGTTAAAAATATAATCCCAAGTCTGTGTTTGTTTAGCAGGCTGGAAATATTCAGCAAACTGGGTAAGTTATGCCCATTTCTCTCAAAGAGAGTGGGGTTTAGGCATGTTTCAGCTAACTGGGGTAAATGCAGGCTCTGGTTTTGGGCTCTGTGGAGGTTTGGGTGGGTATCAGGAAAGGTTCTCCCCCCAGAGGTGCTGGCACTGCCCAGGCTCCCCAGGGAATGGACACCGAGGCTGCCGCAGCTCCAGGAGCGTTTGGACAGAATTCCTAGGGATGCCCAGGCTGGGATTGTTGGGGTGTGTGTGCAGGGCCAGGGCTTAGACTGGATGACCCTTTAAAATCAGAATATTCTGTGATTCTATGTCTGGCACAGGGAGAGGGGAGCCAAAAACCAGCGAATGTGTGACTGAGCCTCCTGCCCGTGCCAGGGCGAGTTGTGCTGACCCAAAATCCCTGGGAACTGACAAATCCCATCTCTAATATTTAACAAAAAAAGGGACAATTGCAGGTTTCTGTCCATCAAGCTGAAGACTTGGTGGAATGCAAGGACAGCTCTGAAGTCTATTGCCCCCATTTGCCACCTCATCTATTTTATTTAAACAAAACAACCAGAGCCTGTTTATATTTTCTAAAATTTATCCATTTTCTGTCTGTTTAGACAAATGCTAAAAATATTGTCCCTGAAGATTCCTCCCTGCTCCTTTGATGGTGTCTCAAGATTAGGAATCCCTTTGCACAAAACCTTCCCTTGCTCCCCTCTGCTGCATTTTCTTTCCAAGAACAGGCAAACAAGCAGGAGAAGCTCAAATTAGGCCACAGCTGTATTTTCCAGAGAAATTATCCTCATTCCTTTTAAGGACATGAGTGCTCCTCATTAACAAAGAATGGCCTGTTTAAAGGGACAGGACAGAGCCCTCGATGTGTGACAGGGAAACAGGCAAAAAAAAAAAATTAAAAAAAAAAAGAAGGGAGCTTTGTTGAGCATTTTCAGATATGTAAACCATAGAAATGGATTTATGCAAATAGGCTTTTTGAGAATTTTCAGTTTCAAGGGGATAGTGCTGAGGTTTTATTTGAAAAGGTTGGGGTAAATAAGATTATTAGGGGGCTTAAATGTGATACATAATCAACATTTATACACTTAGCTTTAAGGTAATACTGATTATCACTTGGAAAAGTCCTCAGGAAGAGCTTTTATTATTAGACACTATCTTCATATATTCAAAAATCCTTGACATTTTAGAATTTTGATATTAATTATAAATAGTAGAAGTATGACTGCTTCAGGACTCTGCTGGTTGCAAACTTGATTAAGATGTACTAGAAAAACAAGATCTTGGAAGAAATTATTCATTTAGGTTTTGGTTGGTGGGTAAATCATCTGCAGTAGTCAGAGCCTGCTTGTTTGATTTCATCTCTCCTGGTTTGTCTTCCTCAACTGCAGTATTTTGCAAGAGACTTTTTCTGAAGTGCTGACCAAATACTAAATACTGAACACAATCTTTGCAACACAAATAAACAACAGGAACTTGCAGCTGAAAACTCCTGTGCTTTGTGTAGCAGCACCTTCTTCTTTTCCGTGCCCCTGGGATATCCAACACCCTTATTTAACAGACCACTGTGGTACCAATACATTGCAACACTAATTCTGAATTTACTTTTTTGTCCTGTGTTTCAGGCATCATGATTTGGACAAATGGTCCAAGTCTCTCTGCCAGATTCCTGATGGGGTTCCTTCTCCTGTCCATGTTCACTGGGAAGGTGGTGCCTGAAGAGATCATTGCAACCAAGAATGGCAAAGTCAGAGGGACCAGCCTGCAGGTGCTGGGGGGGACAGTCACGGCTTTCCTGGGAATCCCTTACGGGCAGCCCCCCATCGGGAGGCTGCGCTTCCAAAAGCCAGAACCTCGGGAGAAGTGGGAAGATGTTTGGGATGCCACCAAACACGCCAGCTCCTGTTTCCAGCCCATAGACACAGCTTACCCAGGGTTTGCTGGGTCAGAGATGTGGAACCCAAAAACCAGCCTGAGTGAAGACTGTTTGTACCTGAATGTATGGATTCCTTCTCCCAAGCCCAAGAACGCCACTGTCATGGTGTGGATTTATGGTGGTGGATTTGAGTCTGGCTCCACTTCCCTGCCTGTCTACGATGGGAAGTTTCTGGCCAGGGTGGAAAGAGTGGTCGTGGTTTCCATGAACTACAGGACTGGTGCTCTGGGGTTTCTGTCCTTGCCAGGAAACCAGAAAGCTCCTGGAAATGCAGGTTTGTTTGATCAAAGGCTGGCACTTCAGTGGGTCCAGGAGAACATAGCAGCCTTTGGAGGCAATCCCAAGAGCGTGACTCTGTTTGGAGAGAGCGCAGGCTCGGCCTCTGTCAGCTATCACCTCCTTTCTCCTGAAAGCCACCCCTTATTCACCAGGGCCATCCTGCAGAGTGGGTCTGCAAATGCCCCCTGGGCTGCAATTACATCTTCTGAGGCCAGGAACAGAGCAGTGGCTTTGGCCAAACAGCTCCAGTGTCCCACCAGCAACGAGTCAGAGCTCATTCTTTGCCTCCAAGACAAGGACCCGAAGGAAATACTGGAAAATGAAATTTTTGTCGTTCCAAATCGTTCTCTTTTACAAGTATATTTCTGTCCGAGCGTGGATGGCGATTTTCTGGCCGACATGCCAGAAGCACTGATGGAGAATGGTCTTTTCAAACAGACCCAGATCTTGGTGGGTGTCAATAAAGATGAAGGGTTATCGTTTCTGGCATACGGAGTGCCTGGCCTCGACAAGGATAGCGATGGCTTGATCAATAAAACCCAGTTTGAAGCAGCTTTAAGTCTGGCCTTCCCAGGAGTGAGCAAACTTGCCATAGAATCCATCAGCTTCCACTACATGGACTGGGAAAACATGGGAAAGCCGGAGCACTACCGGGATGCCATCGATGACGTTATCGGGGACTACAACATCATCTGTCCCGCGGTGGAATTTACCACCAGCTTCACCCAGCTGGGCCACCACGCCTTCTTTTATTTCTTTGAGCATCGCTCCTCCAAGCTGCCCTGGCCGGAGTGGATGGGGGTCATGCACGGCTACGAGATCGAGTTTGTGTTCGGGCTGCCCCTGGAGAGGAGAGCGAATTACACCAAGGCTGAGGAGCTCCTGAGCCGCTCCATGATGAGATACTGGGCAAGTTTTGCCAAAACTGGGTAAGTTTCCTCTGGAAGGTTGGTTGGTTGGTTGGTTTGTTGGTTGGTTGGTTTGTTGGTTGGTTGGTTTGTTGGTTGGTTGGTTGGTTGGTTTGTTGGTTGGTTGGTTGGCTGGTTGGTTGGTTGGTTGGTTGGTTTGTTGGTTGGTTGGTTTATTGGTTGGTTGGTTGGTTGATTGATTGATTGGTTGGTTGGTTTGTTGGTTGTTTGGTTGGTTTGTTGGTTGGTTGGTTAGTTGATTGGTTGGTTGGTTGGTTGGTTGGTTGGTTGGTTGGTTAGTTGATTGGTTGGTTGGTTGGTTGGTTGGCTGGTTGATTGGTTGGTTGGTTGATTGGATGTTGTTTCACCAGAGGAAAAAGATTGACTGTTTGAGTGCTGCTTTGGAGCCTGACTGGAATGATGGAAACAGATTAATTGTTCAGTTATCCAGAATTCCTCTTTTAGTTCTGACAAAAGCACTGTTTTAATAAAATAAGCTGCTGACGTGTTGCTCCCTGTACTGGACAAGCTTAAGGCAACAATGTTTATCCACCCATAAAAGCAAACACAAAACATTTCTTTGCCAGGGCAGCTGTTGTTCCAAAGGCAGGTAATGGTTTCGAGTGTTAGAAACAAACTATTTCAAACACTAGAAAAGACTTCCAGCAGTAGAAGTAGGAGGAAAAAAGCCCAGTTCCCTTGAGGATGTAATTTTCTCGGAACATTCAGGTGTATAACAGGGAGGTGTGTTATGTTCACATGATGAAGAGGTTGGGATTTCAGAAAGCCTCTCCTCCCTGTGTGCCGTGAGTGCAAGCCCATGACAAATCACTCTCCAATCCCAGTCCACTCATCTTGAAGTGAAATATGGCCCAGCCTGAACAGGGAGAAAATAAGAGTATTCCATTTGGGTGTTTGGAATGGATTGAATCCAACCCCTCTCCAGCTGGAGTCGGGGGAAGTGAGGCAGCCCTTGCTCCTCTCAGCAGGGCTGGGGGCTCTCAAGGAGATGCTCAGTTTGAAATGAAAACATTTCAGGGCAGTAACAAAAACAGCCACCACCACAACAATCATGTAGGATTAGTCCCAAGCCTGATGGGAAGAGGAGGTATCTTTTTCTAGGAGTTTAATTTGTGCTTTCTACTGAGAAAATTATATATACAAAACTTAGTGCCTTGGAGAACATACAACCAAACAGTCAATTCACACTCTAAAAACATTTATTTAACTTTAATGTCAAAATCCTGCGTTAATTCTGTTTCTAAGGTGGACCCGTTGTTTGATTTGTCAAGGATATATAGATTTGTAAAGGAGGAAATCAACATTGGAACAAGATCTAATTAATTTTTTTAATAGATTAGAAACCAGAGGTTTCGAATCAGAGGGGACCACTGTGCTCATTTAGTCCGCCCAACCTTGTACATAACACAAAACACAGGTAGGAGCGAAGTGCTCCCACTGATTAAAAATGTTTCCACTGATTAAAAATCCAGAACAAACATTGTTAGGTTGATTTAAATCTTAATGCTGCTTAAAATGTTACATTATAAAAGTAAGTCTTTCTAGACTGAATTTGCCTATTCTAACTCTACATTCTCCAGGTTTCACATTTTGTTTGACAATTTTAAAGATTCACTTTATGGTTTTTGTTCCATATAGAGGTTGATTATTAAGGATCTATTAAAATAATCCTTAATGTTTTCTTTTTTAATTGTTTGTTGAACAAACAGATCATACCCTTGAGACTTGCACTAATGTGCTCTTTCTCAAATAACAACTCTCCACCTTTAAACCTGTGATTCATCCACACCTTGTTGGAACTTTCCCTGCCAGAATTAAACACTGTCATCCCCACAGAGTTGTAATTCCAGGTGTCACCTCTCCCTTCCAGCTCAGCCTGATTTTCCCCGTTTATCCATCCAAGGCAAGCTCTCCTTGTGCTCCGTGGTGTTACCTTGGGGATGTCATTTGTCAAAGGCTCCACCATCCATCCCAAACCCATGTCCCACCTCCAGCCCTGTGCTTCCCCTTCACCTCATCCTACAGGATGAACTCACTGGTTATTTTTATGTGCATCCCTTTTTTAACAGATTTATTTATCAATGGGTGTGATTGATTGATTGATTGATTGACTGATTGATTGATTGCCTTGATTTGTAGGAGGATTAATTACCTTAACAACTCCCATCCCCTTTATATGCTGGAGCTCATAATATTTCTCTTACCAAAAGAGATGAGCATATCACAACTCAGAAAATAACTGTACCAATCGCTGTACTCATCACTGCATAGTGCTTTCATACAGCTTTAATTACTGCAAAATTGAATCTAAAATTGAATCCACGAGCTCTTCCTGCCTCCCTCTCTGCTCAGAGCACACCCCTCTGTGTGAGTGTGGTGGGGAGGGCTGTGATGCAGAGCAAAGCTTCCAGTGGGGCTCACAGTCTGGAATTGAGCTGTGAGCTTGACTTATCAATGCCAAAAATGCATCTGATGGGTTCCCAGGATGAATTCTGGCATTGGGAAAGGCTTGGGAACCCTTCCTGCAGCATGAAGATGTGCTGTGACACTGTTCCTTTGGGGCTGGTGTCATCAGGCCCTTGGTGGAGAGCAAAGTGAGTGAAAAGTTCCTCATTCCAAGCTGCAGCTCCCCATCCTGCCCTAAAGGAGCTCGCAGCCAGGATCTCCCACCAGAAACAGCACACCCTGCCAACAAACAGAGCAATCTCTTGGTGGAAAAAGAGAAATTCAGATCTATATTTGATTTTGCAGGTTGATATTTACATTTCTTTGAACTATTGGCTTCCACTGGATTATGTATATATTTAATTTTCATGTATATAGCTTTTATGTATATATATATAAAAATCTCAATAACCTGCTCTGCAAAACACAGTTCCTGTCACTGCAGCTCCTAAAATGAAACATAAGGTACATTCAGGTTTAAGTTTGTGGAAGACAGCGCTGTCACCTACTCTGATCATCATTCACACTATAAGTAGATTACCCCACAGACTGAATTTCAAGTGGTTTCCACAGCAAACAGCAAATAATCCTCCCTCTGCTCCTGCCATGGGGATCCAAACCATCATTATTGGGAAAAACAGTACAATCCAGTAATTTCTGCGTTCAGAAAAATCAGATCAGGATTAACCCTCAGTGTAACCCTTGACTCATTATTCAGATCAGAGATGCCTAAAGCTCTGTATACCATTCTTCAGAGGGTTCAAGGAGTAGGGAAGTAATAAAAATTCCTAATAATTTCAAGATTAATAAGGGATCCTTTTTTATTCCCGGCACATTTGAGCACAGCAAACATTTATAAGGAGCTGGGGAAGCCCTGTTTTGACATAATGTTTATAAGAAACTCTGGCATGATCAAAGGGCAAACCTCTGAGGGGAAAATTACCACTGATGTCTCCAGCAGATGAAGAGAAAAATCAAGAAAAAATGAGAAATATTGTACAGCACATTTTTTAGTGAGGGTGTTTGACCTAATATTCTAATGTGCTGAAGTACAAAAGCACAAGGGAGGGGAGAGCAGCCTGCAGAGGAAAGGAGAAGAAGTAGAGTCAACAAAACTGGAAGAAATCTTATTTTTCCCGGTGTTTTCTGGCTGGGAGGGACTGAAAGGTGCCAGAGCTGCTCCTCATGAGGGGGCCTTCAAGCCCAAACTTTGACTTTAGTGTTCTCTGGGTTTTATTATCATGTGAGGAATAAAAATACTGATAGGAAAATTAAAAACATGCACTTAGGAGCAGTTTCTGTTTCTGTCATGGTTTAACCCCAGCCAGCAGCTAAAACCCACAAAACTGCTGCCCTTTTCCCCCACAGAGGAATGGGAGAGAGAATTGGAGGGATAAAAGCAAAGAAAACTTGTGAGAAATCCTTAATGCCATGTAAGGACAAAAGAAAAGATGATGGGGACAGAAAGTGACTCCTTCAGAGCCTCCCAAGAGTGGGAAATTCTTGATTTCTGCATTTCTCAGTAACTGAAAGAACACTGCCAGCCAGCCCAGGGCCTCCCCAGTCCACCAGCATCCCCAGCAGGAGTGGATGCAATCTTCCAAATCTCTGGGCACTTCCTATTTCACATCCTGGCTAAAAATAGACATCAGTGATTACTGATTTTTCCTGGAAAAATACAGGAAAATTCCTATTTTTGAACATAAACAGGGAATGGAGATGTAGAGGCTTCTGTAGGAGACAGGAACACACATTTCTCCTGTGAGCCTTGGAGTTGGTGCTGATGATAGAGTGCGATAACTCTCTTCTGGATCCCAGGGAATAGTGCCATTTCTAGGAATCTGACATATATTTACATAGTCTATGAAAATCCTGCTTTTTCATGACTGATTTTGGGTATCAAGTAAGTTTGACCAAATATCCCAGCCTTTCCAAGTGTTGTTCAGATATTCCATAAAGTACTTTTATTTTTCAGACGTTTGAGCCTTGAAAGAGCAACATTTTCATCATACCCTGAAATATCCTTGCTCTACCAGCAAGGAAACAAAGAGACTTATTACTCCTGCTGTCTGAATAAATCAAGCCTAATAAAATATTTGGGTTATAAGAAAGAACAGATTCCAAAATCAAAGTTCTTGATTCACACTTTGAGGTTAAATTCCTCCCTTCACCTTGACCTGGGGTGCCTCAGTTTATTCTTGCTTTTAAGGGTATTGGCAGCTGAATATCAATTCATAGCCTCAAAATCATTTGATAAAAATAGCAGATATCATCCCAGTTAGACAAAGAGAGATGGGCAGATTGGATTCAGCAGGAAACCGTAGTGTGGTGTCATGAAAAGTGCTGGATCAGCTCTGCTATGATTGTGTTTGTGTGGAAACAACATTCATTTTAACAATATTGTTAATTTTCAGTGGCCTTCTCCTAAATTCTTCCCAGCACACTGGATTTTAAGCCAGGCTCGTGAAAAAAGTATCAATCTTTCTTTTTAAACAATTTTAAAGTTTCTTTTTCAGCCACACTTTTGTTATTCTTCAGAAAGCTTTTGAAAGCAG